ATCCCTTCTTTATGAGGATTCAGTTTCTTATGCACTGGTACTTCACCATCCTCTAACTTCAAAGTAGCCTAATTCCACCTCCATGAAAGCAAATTCTTGACAGCTGGAAATTCTTAACCCAATAAATCCCTGCATATTCCATTTCAACTTCCTTTAAATAAATACAACCTACTCATAATTTAGTGTGTCTCCTGATAGTCACTATAAGAAAACAGAAGCAAAGACAGGCCTTCTCCAATTGAGATTATATTATTCACTCACACTATTGAAGTTATAAATGGAAAAAGAATGCTAATAGATACATGCAAATAAATTTATCTCCTACCTACATCATCTTCATCATCTTCTTCGATGTTATTAATAGAACCATCTGGAAAGGATGGAAGAGAAACAATACATGTAAAGACAAACGATGAGCAGAAATGTAAAGTACATGATTCAATTTTTTTCTTCCTGACTCTTCAGTGTCTACTGGCAAGAACAGTCATTTCATGGAGGAGTGGGTAAAATGATGGGGAAGGTAATGGAGATTGTTGAATGTTCCACTGAAGAAGAAGGGTATTTCACTTGGCAGGGATGTGATAAAAGCAAAGCAATAATTTTTAATTGATTGAGGCCACTCTGCTTTGCCCTAACAGCACTCACCTATGTTTTGGATTGTAGTACTCTTGATACCCCGAAGGTTCTTCCGGGGGTGGTTGAGGTTTGAAAACTATTGAGAGAAACAAATTTCAACCAATATTAAGATGCAAGCCCTCTAGCAGCCCAGTGCTTCCCTACCACAGGGGCTGGACGGGATTCAGGGAAGGAAACTGGGGTACTGTTTCCTTTGCAATATTAGGTAGCAGCAGATTCCTTTCGGAGTTGGGTCTCCTGTATGCATTACCCTAAAATTGGAGATTTTCTGATTTTCTGTATTCCCTGTACATGAAGTTTCTCTTTCCTAGGCCTCTAGTTTAGAGATGGGCAGTACTTGGGGTTCACAGAGCCAACCAGGGCAGAGTGGCTAGGAAAGTGCACTGGCAGATGGATGGAAGCGAGCTGAGGCTTAATGATCAAACAGGCAGAGTAGAAAACTCAGGGTCTAACTGGGACCACCAGCTGCGTTCCCACACTGGATTTCCCGGGGTCTTCATTTTGCCCTTTCCAACCAAAGGTCTTGCCTCTCGTGTGGGTGGGGACGGGGTCTCCTTCTGTGGCCCTCTTCCAAACCCTTCCCACATCTCCCCTCCAGCATCTGAACACCCCACTTCGAACGCTCGCGGGCTCTCCCTCCCCTCCCAACTAATCTCCCTCTGCGAGTGGGCGCTCCACCCCCGCGGCTGTGCCCCCCGGCTTGGTGGCGGTTACGTGGCTGTTCAGCCGCTCGCTCTCCGCCGCCCCCGCGTCTCCTCCCCACAGTAACGACGCCATGGCTGCGATCGCTGCTCCCGCCCCCAGCACGTGCTTTTGCCACAGGCGCGAGGCGGTGCCGGCCCCGTCCGCTGGCCAATGGGCTTCCTCAGGGGGCAGGCGTCCGCGCCGGCGACCCCCGCGGTGCGGCGCGCAGGCGCTGGAGGGAGGGGTGAGGCGCTCCGGAGGGCGGAGGGGGCGCGGAGCTGGGGTAGAGGGGACGCTGAGTGACACAGGGGGCGTGGAGGGGCACAGGGGGCGTGGACGGGGTGTGAAGGGGGCGTGGAGAGCTGGCGGCCTGGGCGCGGCCGGAGGAGGGCAGTGCTGTGTTGCTGCGCGCGGTTTTGGTGTGCCCGCCCCAGGTCCGCGCTCGGCGTGGGCGTCTGGTCCCTGCTGAGCCGGTTGCGTGAGGCTGCAGCCTCCGCCCTGAGTGGAGAGCGCCCCCGCCCGCGTCCTGCCGCGCACACAGCACTCCAGGCGGGAGCTCCCCGGACTCCCCACAGCGCTTTACGCCCCCTGCCCGTTTCCCTGGAAATTTCCGCCTTCGCATCACTAGATGTCAGAAAGGTTAGCGAATTGCTTAGGAAAGTGAGGACAAAATCTGATGAATTTGATATGACGAATGACCTCGAATGCTACAGTTGCGGAAAGGAAGCAGAGCTGTTCAACTTCTAACTGCGGTTCCTGTGATGTTCCACATAGGCGTTTTAAAACTTTTATTCCGAAATGTGGTCTCATGTTAAAAACATTTCCATTCGGTATAACCTCTACGTCCTACATGCATGTGCATAATACGGGATAGATCCCTGGATCCCCGCTACTAATGACTTAATGACTGCTCAATTTGGACGAAAGAACCAAATTCCACCTCCTTCCTTCCCCCAATTTTCTAACTGTAATTTTGAGATTTGGGTCAGCATTTCTGGAATTGGGAGCAAAAATGCAAAAACCCACAAACGAAACTGCAGTCATGATCTCTCCATGGTGCTGAAGCAACGCTCCGCAGCTGTGTTGGGTCACTCTCAGGACACTTAGTCTCTTGTTTTGAGATTATCATATTCATTTCAGCTTTTAATTTAGATTCCAATAGTAAGTGTTTTCGTCTCTCAGTGGTAACTTTCTTGTTTAAGTAGGTACAAAATCGAGCCAAGATCTTCAGTCTTTTAGTTTTCGTGTAAGGATAGCAGACATTTGAAAAATTATCTCTATTCTTTTATTATAGCGTAGCACTAGAATTCCTCCTTTTATTGCTGTCCTGCCACAGCCCCAGATTCTCCCTTGCGGGTGGAGAAACGATAGCTGTACTAAAAAACCTGAGGTGAATTCTAGCACCAAGCTCGGTTCTCAGAACTACATTTCCCACAACCATGGACTACACCCCCCCATGAAGCCTCCAGCGCGTGCGCAGAAGACGCACAGTGACCGCTTCCTGTTTCGGAAACCCGGCACTGCCGCTTGCCCGAAAGTAAGTGTGGGCTCTTTGGGGTGGGTTAATTTCTGGGTTCCACAGGGGAAGGAACAAACGGACACACTGCTAAATGGTTGTCTTTTTGCCTTCTTACATATACTTTGGTGTTTTCAGGAAAGCATTGGTGTATGGAAATGAGACCTCGCTTAGTGTCTTTCTTTTGTGTCTGGTACTTTCTGGAGCTCACAGCGGAAACTCGCAGCTGTAGGGACATCTTTAATTCCATTGTGACCGGAGCTTCCGTGGCCCTTGGACTGTGGTGTACAAAAGTGCTCTGCTGCCCCACTTAGAATTGGGTGCTCATAAAACTAAACAGTGGTAGAAGTTGAGATCCCAGGAGTATGTGGGAGGCTGTGGCAGCAATTTTCGAATTATTTTTTTTAGTGATCATAGTGCGTGCCCACGAATCTTTTGGACAGTGCTCCCTCTTTTTCCCTTTGGATTAATACGAAGTTTATCAAGAGGAATGCTATTTTTGTTAACCCACTGGTTCCTGACAGTAGGACTTTTTTTTTTTTTTTTGGAGACTGTCTCCCAGGCTGAGTGCAATGGCATAATCACTGCTCACTGCAGCCTCGACCTCCTGGGCTCAAGCGATCCCCCCACCTCAGTCTCCGAGTAGCTGAGGCTACGGGCGCGCGCCATCGTGGCAGACTAGTTTTAAATTTTTTTTTTTTTTTTGTAGAGACGGTCTCGCTGTGTTGCCCAGGCTGCTCTTGAATTGCTGGCCTCAAGCGGTCCTCTCCGTCTTGTGCTATCAAAATGTTGGGATGACAAGCGTGAGCCACGGCTCCTGGCCCAATGTATGGAACATCTGGTGTTGGCTGTTTTAGTTTGTAATTGATGCTTAGGGTACACACGAATTCCCTCTTTGTGGTCACTTGGTAGCCCTGGCCAAGGTGTTACCTTAAACGTCTGCTTGGGAACTACTACACTTCACCCTGAAGATGGGTGTGCTGGAAAAAACACTGTAGTGTACCAAGTCTTGTTTTTGCCACAAATCTGCCTTAAGACCAGCCAGACTCACTCCCTGGCCTAGTTCTTTAGCTAGCAGGGGTGTTGAACTAGGTAACTTTGGAGGCTGATTCTGGTAATACTGGACTTTGAGATCTAAATAAATCATTGGAGTGTTCTGCAAGTTAAAATCACCGTATAATTTTTGACCTCATAAAAAGCCAATGTGTAAATACAAACTACCTTTAATCCCACTGCTCAAGAGTTAGGTTTTGATATTTCCCTGTGTGTACAGTGTATAACTGAGATCATGCTGTACAGTTTATGATACATTCATCTAATTTTCACCTTCCCAAGATTCCCAATGACTATTTAATATTCTAATATCTTTAAAGACATTACTATTCCACTGTTGGAAGACAGTTTGGTTTCTACTTATTTACAGTGAGTATATCCTACACGTATCTGAGTCATTGATTACTTCTTTTCCTGATACTTAGCAAATAGAACTGGGTGAATGTGTGAATTATGTGGCTTTAAATGTTATAGGGAAAATGATTTTCACAGATAGTAAGGGTCAGTCATTCACGTTTATTTTAGTGCTCTTCTCCTTCAACAAGCAATCTATGCCATCGTTCTTCTGGCCTCCAGTGTTAAAACTGACAACTTTCAGATTTTACATGGTCCCCATTGGGTTAGAAATACCAAGAACAGATAAATTCCAGTTTAAGGTGAGAATTCATATTTTAATCTGCACCCCAAGAGGCTAGATTCATTTAGGTATTTATGTTTGCATCTGATTCCAGATGTTACTAGTTTGAAATTCTACTGGAGTAGGAATAGCCTTCCAAGTGATGCATAATTCCTACAAAAATCTCAGGAGCGAATTATAAAAAGCATGGTATTCCAGCTGACAGGCAAAATATTATTGAAATGATTCTGAAATAAAACAATTTTGAATCCTGTTTGTTATATGGTACTGTTTTGGGGCATTTATTAAAGTAGTTTAAAGCTACTTGGATTTGTTGTATACCTTTAGTAATGACGGCTATCTATGTTGTTACCTCTCTCCCATCCTTTAGGACTGTGTAACAGGCAGGTTTTTGTTCCTTCTTTTGAGCTCTCATCACAGCTCAGGTTCAAGATCATATTAGGGAAGTATTTAATGAAACAATATTCAAGTTCATGAATTTCCAAAATTCTTTAATTGATAAATGTAATGCCCAGCAACTTAAAAAATACACATAAAAGCACAGCAACTCACATTGGCCATAGGTAAAAAAGGTTATAGGACACAAAGGGCCCTTACTGATTTGGCAAAATACTAATTTGACAAAATAGAAAGACCAGGTCTGTTTCTCTTTCTCCGATATATCTTGCAATTGCTGGATTTGAGTGTTAATTTGGAAGTTTTATATGACATCAATGTGATATATAGCTAGGAAAGACCAGTGATAGGTGAAGTCCTTACTGTAAAATGTTCTATGAGCTTTTCAAGTCAGTTGTTTCTATTTAAAAGGAAAGATAAAAAGAGCCAGGTTATCTCAAACAATCCTGTGAAAGAAGACAGTTTAAAAAAGATTTAAGGAGGAGAATGAGGGAAGGGAAGCTTCCTGGGTATGATACCATTTGCAAGGTCACAACGAATACCCCAACGGAGTGCAGACCTTTTCTTCTCTGTTGGTACTAGATAATTGTTTGGGACATATATGTGCTGAGGTTTGGGTTGGGGTTCTGCTCGACAGAGCATCTGCTCTCGGACACCCCAGCGTAATTCCTTCCTATGATCTTCACCAGGTAAGCGCATTGAGTCCCAGTCCCGTTTGTACTCAAAATACCGGGCTACCCGGTCTGTCTTGCCCCGGTTTCGGCTTAACTGATCCAGCCTTGGGAGAATAACGGACTTGGGTCTGCTGGCAACAATCAGGTCTTGTTCGTAAGCTGGAGAGCCCATTCCTTCTTTTTGTAGAGAGCAAATGAGCTGATCTTGAGAAATTCCTTGGTATTCATGTGGTGGATTAAGTTTTTGTGAAATATCAAATGAGGATTCCCTGTCTTCCTCGAACTGCACATTCATCAGCCTTTGTCTTAAGTCCCAGAGATCCTGATCATTTTCTGTACCAGATTCTGATTCACTGATAATCGACTCATCTGTCACTAATACTTCCCCATCTGGCTTTCTACGCAGCACCTTTCTCTTCATCACTGGCTTTCGGAGTCTTTGGGAGGCCTCAGAGACTGTTTCTGAAGTGATACTACTTTCCACACGTGGGTACTGTAGTTGCACAGGAAGAGTAGGTCGCTTCCCTGGGGCTACCGAAGCTTTACTGTAGGGATCATATTGGATAGATTGGGCCTCTCTCCTGACATCTCCTTTACCCTGTCCTGCATAGATGTGGGTAAAAGCTGTAGCAGCTACCAACATTTGCTCTTCTGGATCCATACTGGCCCATTTTTGTCCATCAGGTGCAAGTTGTTTCATTGCTTTCCTACACTGTAGGACCTTCTGCAAGAGATAACATTGGTCAGTTTTCCAATAATAAATTCCCAACTCATAAATTGCTCATTCCCTTATCTCCATTTTATAGTAGTCAAATGGAGAAAGAATGGCAAAGGCAATCATAAATTCAATACCAGGTAGTATAAGAACAGTTTAGAGGGGCATTAACTCAGTTCCAGGGAATCTGTTACCTGCTTTCATTTCCACTCTTAATCCTGCTTTCTCCTGTCTTGCCACCTTTAGTAGGTCCTGAAACAGGACAGTTTAGTTCTGGTATAAGAAAAGTTTGAAACTTCATGATATGGGGCATACCACTTAATGTGTATTATGTAACAGGTTACTTAGGGGGTACTTTATGTGCCTGCCGTTGTTCTACGTGCTTTACATTTATTCATGTAATTTTCAGCCGTGGGATTATCTCCTTTTCACAGATGAATACATAGGGCACAGAGAAGTTAAATAACTTGCCCAAGGTCATTCAGCTAGTAAGTGGTGGAGCTGGAATTCTAACTCAGTTTGGCTTCAGAGTGAGTCCCAGCTTTTAACCATAAAAGAGTGATTTGAGCCGGGCGCGGTGGCTCAAGCCTGTAATCCCAGCACTTTGGGAGGCCGAGGCGGGTGGATCACGAGGTCAAGAGATCGAGACCATCCTGGTCAACATGGTGAAACCCCGTCTCTACTAAAAATACAAAAATTAGCTGGGCATGGTGGCGCACGCCTGTAGTCCCAGCTACTCAGGAGGCTGAGGCAGGAGAATTGCTTGAACCCAGGAGACGGAGGTTGCGGTGAGCCGAGGTCGCGCCATTGCACTCCAGCCTGGGTAACAAGAATGAAACTCCGTCTCAAAAAAAAAAAAAAAAAAAAAAAAAAAAATAAATAAAAAAAAAAAAAAAAAAAAAAAAAAAGGGTTTTTTTTTAAAAAAAAAAAAAAAAAAAATCAAAAGCAGTGTTGTGTTCTCTCTCACACACAATGTGTATATATATATATGCATACATATAATTTCTATGCTTTAGTAATTTGAATACATCTTCAGTTGCTGGCTAAATCTGTTCATTCTAGTGTCTGAAATAACTTAGTACTCACATCCGTCAGCCAAATACCCAATGCTAGTTTCCTAACTGAATCTGAGATAGGTATCTGCTGTCCACTATTTCCTGTGTCCCTACTATTTTTCTTTTTAAACTGAAAAACTAATACATGCACATGATAATTTTGAGCAAGGATTTTTCCCTTACCCACCAAGTTTTACTCTCAAAAGCAATTTCTTATGATTTCTCCAGAAATGATTTCCATATTCACATGTACACTTATTTTTTTATACCATAAAGGAGAACAATATACAACTCTTCTGAACCTTAAAGATAACAAGTTATCCAGCTATGTAAGCATAGGCTGAGGTTTATTTTATGTTGCACAGAATTCCAGTGTATCAATGTATCATACATTTATTCAGCCATTCCCTTACTGATTACTGATGTAACTTAGATTTATAGGTTTACTAATGTTAACAAGAGTATTCTGTAAGTTGCTACTTATTTGGCAAGCATATGAATGGGTTAAATTTCTAGACATGGGAGAAGTAGGCCAAAAGTTGACAGCTACTGCCAAAATGTTTACCTCCAAAGAAGCTGTACTGACCATGTGTTAACCATGTTTCTCTAGTCCCTTTCCAAAGTGGCATACTATCAAATTGCCTTCGTAGTCAGTTCCTTAAAAAATAGTTCTCATATCCTTTTGCATTTATTTCAGCTGAGTAGAAGTGAACATTTAAAAATATTTTAGGCTGGGCACAGTGGCTCATGCCTGTAATCCCAGCAGTTTGGGAGGCCAAGGCAGGTGGATCACTTGAGATCATGAGTTGGAGTCCAACCTGACCAACATGGAGAAACCCTGTCTCTGCTAAAAATTTAAAAAATTAGCCAGGCATGGTGGCACATGCCTGTAATCCCAGCTACTTGGGAGGCTGAGGCAGGAGAATCGCTTGAACTAGGGAGGTGAAGGTTGTGGTGAGACCAGATTGCGCCATTGCACTCCAGTCTGGGAAACAAGAGTGACACTCCATCTCAAAAAAAATAAAAAAAATTTTATAAGCTTTTTTTCTTTTTGTTTGAAATGCTTGGTCTTTGCCTGTTTGACTCTCAGGTTGCTGGATTTTTTTTCTTATTGACTTTTTCATTAAAACTGATTTATATATTAATGAAATATATATTAAGGAAGGTAGCACTTTACCATCACTTATTTTTTTCCTTCTCAGTTTGTTGTTTGCCTTTTATTTTTTGCTTGCAGAAATGTTTACTTTTAGGTGACATCTTGTTTTTCTATGGTTTCTGGGTTTCTAGACTGTTATGCTTAGAAATGCCTTTCCTACTCCAGAATTTCAAAGTTATTCCATGTTTTCTTCTAGTACTTTGAGTTTCATTTTTTACAATTTAATTGTAATATATTTAATATATATAATAGTTTAAAGAACTACTATAGATACAGAAACTCAATAAAAAACTAAATTAGCTACCTACACTTAGATAACATAGCCTTAGAACAGATGTGGAGATGGTCTTCTCTAACTAAAGTAACCATCAGTCACAGATTGTCTAGGACCATCCCAATTTTAAGGATGTAGTACAGTTGTCCTCAGATTATTGAAATATAACAGGAATTTCTACAGTGACATCTACATTATACAGACTGACTTTTTAAACTATTAGAGGTACAGAAATCTTTTATCAAAACATGCATTTAATTCAGCTTAAAAAAGGGGTCAATGTGCTTAATTACCCTTTTTCTCCCATCAAAATTGCTTAAAGTGAGAAAATCTTGTCTCTAGCTTCCACTTCCAATGTGAAATATAACCATCAGTAAGCTTCTTCAGTTAGGCTAGCTTCTACTGCACCACCTACTATTCATCTAATGAATATTATTAGATGATGGAACATACAAGCCATTTATTTGAAATAAAAGCAACAGAAACCCAGAACAGACTTAAGTAGCCCATATAAAGAAATCTTATGACTAGAGAATTGAACAAATACAATAAGAAATCAAATGGAAATGTTTTACAGAAAAAATACCTGTAACATGAGTCCTCAATACACTCAGTGAAGATAGAGAAATGAAATCTATAGACATTCTCCTGGAATTTTGACTGCTTTAATGAAACCTTAATAATGACAGCTGAGTAACAGTTCTTTCCCTCTGTGAACTGGCTAGACAGGATGGAAAAGAATGATATCTGTGGATGATCAGCCCACAATAAAGCTAATGCTTGTATCCCTGGAAAAGCAAAAGTATATTCTTTGGGCATTAAATTAAATGTTAGATACCATCTGAACATCATCAAAGGAACTAGCACTCAAACTGTTGTATTCCTTTGCTCTCTTTTCAGATAGGGCGGCCCTGTTTGATTCGTTTATTCCTGGGGTTGTCGCATCATGGCTGATGATGCAGACAGAAACCAGACTGAGAAACTCCTAAGAAGAGTACAAGAACTGGAGCATGAGGTGCAAAGACTTAAAAAGGAACAGGCCAAAAATAAGGAGGACTCAAACATTAGAGAAAATTCAGGAGCTGGAAAAACTAAGCGTGCATTTGATTTCAGTGCTCATGGCCGAAGACATGTAGCCCTAAGAATAGCCTATATGGGCTGGGGATACCAGGGCTTTGCTAGTCAGGAAAATACAAATAATACCATTGAGGAGAAACTGTTTGAGGCTCTAACCAAGACTCGACTAGTAGAAAGCAGACAGACATCCAACTATCACCGATGTGGGAGAACAGACAAAGGAGTTAGTGCCTTTGGACAGGTAAGGGCCAATACACTGTTTCTCCAAGCAATACCAGGATATTCTAGATATACACACTGAGTACTGAGAATATTTGTGTCTCTGAAACCCAGTATCTTTCTTTTACTCCACAGGTGATTTCACTTGACCTTCGCTCTCAGTTTCCAAGGGGCAGGGATTCTGAGGACTTTAATATAAATGAGGAAGCTGCTGAAGAGATCCGTTATACCCACATTCTCAATCGGGTGCTCCCTCCAGACATCCGTATATTGGCCTGGGCCCCTGTAGAACCGAGCTTCAGTGCTAGGTTCAGCTGTCTTGAGCGGACTTACCGCTATTTTTTCCCTCGTGCTGATTTAGATATTGTAACCATGGATTATGCAGCTCAGAAGTATGTTGGTACCCATGATTTCAGGAACTTGTGTAAAATGGATGTAGCCAATGGTGTGATTAATTTTCAAAGGACTATTCTATCTGCTCAAGTACAGCTAGTGGGCCAGAGCCCAGGTGAGGAGAGATGGCAAGTACCTTTTCAGTTATGTCAATTTGAAGTGACTGGCCAGGCATTCCTTTATCATCAAGTCCGATGTATGATGGCTATCCTCCTTCTGATTGGCCAAGGAATGGAGAAGCCAGAGATTATTGATGAACTGCTGAATATAGAGAAAAATCCTCAGAAGCCTCAATATAGGTGAGTTAAAAAATAAATGGTGCATGCCTGTAATCCCAGCTGCTCAGCAGGCTGAGGCACAAGAATCGCTTGAACCTGGGTGGCAGAGGTTGTAGTAAGCTGAGATCAGGCCACTGCACTCCAGCCTGGGTGACAGAGGGAGACTCTGTCTCAAAAACAAAACAAAACAAAAGAAATAGCATATCCTTCTCTCCCCCATGATTATCTAAATAATTAAGTCACTGATTTTGCCTTCATGAAGTTTTTAATCTGAACTGTAGAATGTTATGAACATGTAAGAGGGAGTAGTATCTTCTACTTTCCTCTCATTGTTCTATCCCGTGAGTAAAGAGGCAGGTGTTTTGACCAGGCTCCTTAAGTAAAAGGACATTCATTTCTACCTCTTTGTTGTTTCTGAATTTATGTTAAGAGGTATTATTGTTAGGATGTGGTAAAACTGAAACGTGAATAAGCTATTTGTATTAAATCTGGCTGGTTTTCTATCACTGAGTAGTCATCCTATTGTACTTTTGAATTTTTCCTAATTTCCTATTTCTGAAATGGTAGGAAAGAAAGAATAGTCAAGATTTTTCTTTTGAGAACAGGCTGAGATAGGTACCAATAATTTTACTCATACTGAGCAAAATTGCAATGCCATTAACAAATCTGGAAAAAATATCAGCTATTTTTTAATTTTATAGCAGCATGATAGAGCCATGTCAACTCACTTATAGCTGTCTTGTTAGCACTGACATTTACCTAATATAGATCAGGTTCATCTATGATTTGTTGCATTTTTCATTACTGTAATAAAGTTGTTCAAGGTTGGGGATGGTGGGATATTTTCTTAGCTATTAGACAGTCAATTATTAACATCAACTGTGGCCCGCTACCCGGCTCCCTTAACCCAACTAACTCTTAGTTTTTAAGGAACTGTTGGATGGCTGAGATGTATTCTCAAACTCTTTTCTTTTCTCTTTTTCTCTAGTATGGCTGTAGAATTTCCTCTAGTCTTATATGACTGTAAGTTTGAAAATGTCAAGTGGATTTATGACCAGGAGGCTCAGGAGTTCAATATTACCCATCTACAACAACTATGGGCTAATCATGCTGTCAAAACTCACATGT